CTCATAACTTTCCGCTCCCTCCCCCCCATACAACCTCGAGCTCGCGTGTTTGGTGCAGCAGCTGCTTGCGCCTGACGTGCCCCCCTTCGAATTCTGAGACATCCCATTCCCTTCTCCCCGTCTCGTCTCCCCTCTTTCCCCCTTTCCTCTCCGCTCCCTTATACAGCCTCGAGCTCGCCTGTTTGGTGCAGCAGCTGCTTGCGCACGACGTGCCCCCCTCAGCCAGCGTCCCCCTGACGGCGGACTTTGAATCCTCCCCGCCTGCAACCCCCCCCCCCCCCCCGCGCCTGCTCCCGCCGCTGCCACTGCTGATAGCGGTGGTGGTTCCGCTGCCGCTGCTGCTGCTGATGGTGCTGGGATTAGTGCTAACGGTGTAATTGATGGTAGTGCTGGGGTTAGTGCTGGTGGTGCAGCGGCTGGTGGTGACGTCAGCAGCAGCAGTGCAAACGGAAGCTGTTCCAGCGAGGACAGCAGCGGGCGGGTCGGGCTTTAAGCGCACGTACTGCCATGCATGCACCAACGTGGAACGCTTTTTCAAGGTGATAGAGCCGCTGGTGTGGGCGTACAGAAAATGCCAGGGCGTACAGAAGATGCCAGGGCGTTCAGAAGATGCCAGGGCGTACAGAAGATGCGAGGGCGTTCAGAAGATGCCAGGGCGTTCAGAAGATGCCAGGGCGTTCAGAAGATGCCAGGGCGTAACCGTCACTCCTGGTGTGGCTGGGCTGGGTAGAGTTATGAGGCGCCCTCACAGTAAGGTCGCGTACCCCACTCATGCGTGAGGGGAGATGCCAAAGCCAAATCGTATCCAGGCGACTCCTTTCCTCCATATCCCTCCCTTTCCCCTCTCCTCTCTCCCACACCACCCCGTCTCCCCAGGTGTGTCGGCGGGTGGGTCTGAGGGACGTATCGCTCTTCACCTCGCCAGACCTCGTGGATGGCAGGGACGCTCAGCGTTCCCCTCATGTCCCCCTTGCCCCCCTCCTCTCCCTGTTTCCTCTCGCTGCGCGTACCTGTCTCCCCAGGTGTGTCGGCGGGTGGGTCTGAGGGACGCATCCAACCCTTGTGCTCAGCCGTCATCTCTCGCCCCTTCTCTGGCTGAATTGACACATGCAGCATACATAACCCTTCCCTCCACCACCCCTGCTGCTGTTTCTGCTGCTGCTGCTGCCGCTGCTGTAGCTGCTGATGCCGGTGCTGGCAACATGAGTGGACCATTGTTGAGTCTGGACTATGTTGACTTAGGCACAGAAGGAGGAGAAGGGATGGCAGGAGCAGCACTGGAAGGCCCTTGTGGTTCCACCACTGTGCCTCTCATCAAGTCCTAGCAGAAGCAGCAGCTGCAGCAGAAGCATCAACAGCAGCAACAGCAGAAGCAGTTTACTCAAGCAACTGCCACCGAGTCGTTCGATTCAGAGCCGCCAGACGCAGAGGCGCTGTCAACTACCAACAGAGAAGCAGGTGTTTCTTCAGGCAGGGAGAGCAGCGCGCAGGGGAACAGTGCCACAGGTGCTGCAGCTGTGACAGGAGCTGCAGAAGCAGCAGGTGTAGCTTCGCATGCACATGCAGGTGATGCCCAGAATGCACCTGCATGGTTTGGACTGAAGCAGGAGGAGAGGCGGAGCATGGCGGGTGCTGCACCTGCCGGCCTGCCGTCGCTCCGCGTGCATGGGAGGGCCGTGGGGGGATGCGTGGGAGGAGCAATGCAGCCTGCCGCAGCAGCAGCGCCAGCAGCAGGGCCAGCAGCAGCGCCAGCCGCAGCACCTACGGAGCGTGCAGCTGTAGCAGATGTGGCAGTGGGTGGTAGTGCAAGGGTGCAATCGCGTGATTGGAGAGGCGAGAGGGCGGATGTGTGACATGAGAGCCACAAGCAGCGACATGTGTACCATCGCCAGAGCCAGCACGCAAATGAATGCGACCGAATGTGTGGGGCACGTCGACCTCTGTACAAACACTGCATTTTAGTACGACACGGCATGAGCCATGAAAACCGTTCTTTCCATTCACCGTTGTACTGCCGCGCCGCCTCGAGGTAAAGCATATCCGCTTCTTACAAAAAAAACTCCTCATCGGCCTCACCCAACCCCAGCTGCCCGTTTGTTGGACGTGGCGACGGCGAGGGCGCGGCAGGCGGGAAGTGAGGTCTTGGTCCAAGTGACGACTTGGACTTGGTCCAAGTGAGAAAACGTGTGTTAGAAAAACGTGTACGCTTCACTTGTATTATAGCAATGGAGAAATTTCGAAGTCTAGGTACAAGTCTAACTTCACCAGCTAGCTAATCTGAACCTCACCATGTAAATAACGGTATGTTTTGTAGTTTAACTGGTACCGATCACTCCTTAACGAAACAAATACTCTTTGCCCCCTGCTGGTCTGCTTTGCATTCAAGGCGCATTTCCTAGATTCCGCTTCATTTTTTCGAGCATGGCGGCAACAATGGAGGCTAGTCCAGACTTTCCGCTTAGCATCTCTTTCAGATCTGCTTCAGGTGAGTGGTTCACCTGATTCTTGTGCGAAATCTTTGTGTGGATAATCGTGAAACTTGTCAGGTGCTGCTGTTTCTGCCCCATCACGAGCAAGTATAGACCGTGTACGGGCCTTGTTCGAAGAAGCATCCGCGTCACCGCTTTCGCTGCCTGCTCATTGGCAAGACTTCATTGCGCGTCCTGCACGAACCATCGTATGTTATTAAGCTTTTCCAGTCAGTTCATACTCTCGCATTTCTCACGGCGACTCGCCCTCTCAGGTGCACAATCAAGACGCTACTCCTGGGTTTGCTGTTCTCAGTAATAACAGTCCTCTTTCTGATCCAAGACAAGTCGAGGAGTAACTTAAAACCGCGTAGCTCCAAAATTGGGTCGACACTCGAAGTCTTTTTCATTGTCAATCAACAGTTGTTGATCACCCTCTCATGTCATTATCCGGAGAATATAATCATAAAATTACTATGATGTGTACAAGTTCCATCGTTATGCTGGAGCGGTTCGGTAGGGTTGATGCGTCTTATATCTTGCAGATGCTTCCATCCGCATGTCTCGCGTCATTTGTGGCAGATTCCGCAGGTCGACTTCTTCCAGGATTGTCTGATGACATTGCCCTGATGTGTCTGGCAATGGTTCCCAGAGGCTACTGGGGTGTCCTGAAATGTGTATCTAAATCCTGGAGATACACACTCAGCTCAGAAGATATATGCACGTAAGTTAACTCGCATTGTGACTCGTTGCATTTTCCTTGACGATTCCTGTTGGTGGCTGTCTTAGTGGGTGTAGCACACTGAGTGTACACGCCTTGGTCACGTTGAGTCTGGGCAATGTCTTTCATCCAGTGCCTAATCTTAAGTCTGAATGTGCATGCAGTCTCAGAAGACTAATAAAAAGAACAGAAAGTTGGTTATATGTGCTAGCGCATGCTGCAGGTCCCACTCTTCAAGCATACTCTCCAGGTGATAATAATTCTCCAATCCCTCTTTCAGGAGCTGTTGTGTCATGCCTTTTGATGCTGATTTGGTTTGCATCATCCAATGCAGTGCTTGGTCGGTGGTTCAAGTTCCCCTGGAAAGCTAACCTTGCACCAGGCAGTATGGTAGGAGTGGGTGAGCATCTGGTAGTTGTTGGTGGGCGAGCATCTGATAGCATTAACCCAAACACTGGAGAGCCTGAGCACCCTGACTTCACTTCACAGGCAAGGATACTTTTCGTGCATGTTTCTTAGTCTTCTGTTATGGTGATTGTAGTCTCCTTCAAATCCCTTATAACGTGTCCCACTGTTGCCAGGTGAGGCTCTTCAATGCAAGGACTCTGGCATGGTTTGATGGTCCACCAATACCACAGGCCTTTCCATGCCTGTGCTCCTGGAGTGATGGCAACAGGGCTTTTATTGGGGCGTTAACTCGAGGCAGTTTTCATGTTCTGTCGTCTGAGGTCCAATTTGAAGATGTGCAAGGAGTTGAAGCGCCTGTTGATGCAACCTGCGGAGTATTGCCCTCTAATAAAGATTCAAGCTGCACAACCAACTTGAGAGGCAATGTGCTCAAGAACTGGAGGATATTTGCACAAGGCCCAGTTGACATGCGTGATGGCGAAGGTCGACAAGTGTACAACATTGCGAGGTAAATGTGACTGGACTTGGTATTGCTACAGATGGCAGCATTGGTTTGCTCAAAAAGTTTTTATTTGTTTGTTTGTTTCCTTCTTGCAGTGCTCAATTGACTCCTTTCACCATGAATGGCAAGCAGCAAATAGCAATCTACAACGACTCTACATCCCCATCAGTCATTTTTGAAGTCGACCCAGAGAAGGGAACGTGGGTCAGAACTGAGGCGCACATATACCAACAGTCGATGGGAGTCTGCTTTGCAGCTCAGGTTGTTGGATGGACAGGATCCGACTGCGACTCCCTTTCTCGTGCTCTGCTTGAAAGCATTGACGAAAATACTATGGATCATCCGGGCCTCCGCTCCAAAGGGTTTGCGGTTTTGGATGATAATCTGGTCGCAGTTGGTGGAGTTCGTTACAACATTCGTTCATTTGATGTGACTGAGCTTCATGATTTCAATGTTTGGAGCCAAGAGGCACGGGGATGGGTGCCTGGCCCGCCACTGCCATATGGAGGTGGAACGATTATGGCCATAGCAGTATTGAGCGTCTAATTGCACATTTGAGGTTTGCAGGAGTTGCACCATCTTTATGGATCAAGCATACAGATCCCACCACTTGTGCGGATCAAGCAAATACCATTCCAAACAAAAAACACATGCTGAGGTTGCATCTGTTCTGGCCATTAATATCAGACAGCGAGCGCCATGAATCAGCACACAACCCAACCTAATGATCATCCCAATGTAGTGTGTCGTGTCGTCGTCGTGCTGTAACCAGAATCCGCCGCATTGCTTCATAGCTAACCAAGAAAACAGCGGACGATGGAACCTGCACAGGAAAGGATGCGTGTTAGCACCAGTGCAAGCCAGATAAATAGGTGACTGTGTACCTAATGCACACGCTTACCTTGTAGAGCAACCTGGGTGTCATTCCACGGCCGAATGCCACAATTCCCTGCCAACAACACATAACCGGACCGTGAACCACAGGAAATTGAAGAGCATGACAACACAAGCAAACCCACAGGGAAGATCCTGCGTATACAAATTCTTACACCATTACCTCTTCAGCCCACACTTTTGCAAGCATTTGTCTGGTGCCTAGGTATGCTTGCCCCGGTAAAACCTCTTGGGTCATGACCCGTGTCTTGAGAACGTCCAAGGGAGAAGTGAATATTGTGGCCATGGCCCCTGCCATCTGATGGATGAGAAACACACAAAAAGGCTTGTGAAGATGACCTTTCCCACAATCTGCATGGGAATGATCACAATAACCAGTTCCAATCCTTGCACTCACAGCTCCAATCCACATGTTGCTGAGAAGCAATTCGCCTTGCGATAACTGGCGAGCTGCCACAGACTTGCTCCCTTGTCCTGTTGAGCCTGATAAACCTGGAAAACCTGTGGAGCTTCCTCTGCTGGCCTCACTGGAAGCCAGAGCCCGTGCTGCAAGAATTCTCTCTCGCCTGCGCTTGAGCGTTTCAAAGGTCGTGAACTGTATGGCTGCATAGGGAATGTCCCTAGCCACCTGCAAGCATAGAAATGTGTGGCACACAAGGGAGCTTAGTTCTTGAAGGTGCTAGAAAGGGGAGCCTGCACACATGCCCTACCCATGCGAACGTTACCACTTCCCCAAATAGACACCCTACTCAAGGCGCACCCACCTACCATGGTGGAGTATCCAGTGTAGAACCCAGGCAGCCCTTCCGCCCTCCACATGCTGGTGACGGCAGCAAGGAGCCCAGCAAACTGCCCTGCCTGCACACGCTGCTTCACCACCTCTGGTGGCACCCGCACCAGGCTGGACATCACATTCCCAGCCACTGCTGCTAGGGCTGGGGCTGCAGGCAGGAGCACCGATCGCGCCCGTGCTCGTCTCTCCTCACTCCACCAATCATCAGCATGCCATTCTCCAGAACCAACACTCCACCCTGCCAGTGATTCTCCGTCAATTCTACTTCTGCTGCCGCTCTCTCTTGGCTTTGAGGGACGAAAACCTGTGAGCGAGTTTATGGTATCTTCTGCTGCCCGCTTGGCCTGCTCATAGGCTGTGAGGAAGATGGCGGAGGAAGGGGCGGAAACTGCAATTGACACCATTAATCCGGTGTAGAGGGCAGGAAAACCCTTTGTGCGTACGATTCCTGTCGCACATGCCCATAGATTGTTGTAGTTTCCACGAATCTTCTTGGAGGCCTGTTCAGAATGCGAAATTGGCATGATAATGATTAGTGGTGAGTTCCATAGAGAGACAATGCCTGTGGAATTACGCAGCAAGGAAAGAATACTGCATCATGATATTGGGTTACACCCATTCATACATACATACCCCTACATTCCAAAAACCCATTGCTTCCCTGACTCACTTGCAGGATGGTGCGCGTGGTGTCGAACGGCTGCAGAATTGTCTTCGAAATCAGCGACGCCAACGCGCCTGCCATGAAATTCTCCCACCATTGCAACTCCACTTTGCCTGCACCGCCTCGAACTCCCCCAGGACACTTCGTACCCCTCACTGGAGCGCCAGGAGGTGCTGCAGATGCATTTTTAGGCGAAGTAACAGACTCGGGAACAGGCGGAGGAGGGGTGAATGTAAGGGTGGTCGTTGCTGGGTGATGGTTGACGCTTGACACCAATTGCGCTATGCCTCGTTGTCCGTTACGGCAATCAGCGTTTCTGTAGCTTTGATGGCCAGTTGTTATCAGAGGGACACCTTTCGACCTTCTTCTCGCTCTACAATTTCGAGTTGATAGTCGCAAGTGCGAAATTATGCTGAGAGATCCATCCTTAGCAATCCCTACGCTAGACGGCGCTCCGACCCCGCAAGTCGATGGAAGCGTTTTTTGCTGTAATATGCCTGCAAATCCTCCCTTCTTTGAGTGACCCATCCTAATGATACGAACATTCAACTGCTAGAGCATCGAACGCGCCAGCCTCGTGATGGCTCAAAAGACCACATTACTACTCAAGAATGCGTAATGTGAGGCCCATTACGCGGATCCTGCTCCCCTGGTCATAATAATCAGGATCAAGGAAAAAATTGCTAATGTCTAAGGGGAGCGCGGATGACATGGAAAATCGTCAGCAAGACGATCTCCGATTTCTGGCTTATGGGGGAGGGGAGGGGTTGAAGAGAAAAGAAGAGGGGAGGGTGGGGTGGGGAATTGAGGGCAGGGGCGTGAGAGGGCTTGGGGGATTGCAGGCAAATGGGGCTGATTATTTTGAGCGAAATTCAAGTTTCGCAAATGATGGGCCATTGGCACTAGCGAAAATGATTTCGTCAGATCGATGAGTAACCCACGCCTGACAGACTGACGCCAGCTTCGCGCCAAGAATCTGCTCTGAACGAGGTCTGTCACCTGTCAGACGGACTGTACGCATGTACAGCCACTTCTCCCTCGGTAAAGCAACTTCTCCCTGAACATTTCTCGATGAACTCGAGGTTCTCTCTCTGCCCTCACCCCAGCTCCAGCATTGTGCTGCTGCTGCTGCACTCTGTCTTGCCTCTCTGAGCACCACGCAGATCCATTTCATTCCTCCACAGCCCCAGCATAGTCTGCTTTTTTAGTTGATGATTTGGGAGTATCGCTTCCATTTTTCAGACCTGACTTCTTGAGCTCTCCATTCCGTCTCAGTGAGCCAGCCAGACTGACAACCTTGCCAACATCGCGTTCTTACTACATCTCGGTTCCTGAAGCTGCAGAAAGTTAAGTGCTCCCACTAGCAGTTACTACGATAGCTTCGTCGCCTCGGTGGGGAGCCGTCAAGTCTTTGTTGCAGCTTTCCTCTCAGAGCTTTTTGGTTTCTTTCTCCTTTGACATTAGTGTAAATTATTTTCAGCTTCTGGTGCTGCTTTTCCCAGTTTCCACATCCATCTCTCGCTAATAATCCGCTAGCCTTGTCCGAGTGAGTGAATGCAGCAGCTATTTCATGACAGAATATAGTAGACTCGGCGCATTGGAAGCTTAAAGCAGCCTCGCATTAGCAATTCGCCGTCTGGGTGACATTAGTTCCTCCCAGCGATCCATACGCAGTTCCTGAAAATCAAATCCTTTTTGCTGAGCCTAAAACTCCTATGGATTCCTTGGTTCCTGCATCGGCCACTTCAACAGCTGAAGCCTCTAAGACCTTTCCGATTGATGTTGACGGTGATGAAGGATCTGACCACTGCTATCCGAAGGTCAAGTTGCCTCGCAAGAACGTGAGTCGACCTCCTCGCGAGACGTTGCCTGGCGAGATTCTTAAGAATAACGGTGGACCGTTCGGCTCTGTGGCTGCTTCTGCTGCGAAAACCTCTAAGTCGCCTCCAAAGGACACAGATGGTGATGAAGAATCTGACCACTGTTATCCAAAGGTCAAGTTGCCTCGCGTTGACAAGAATATACAGTCTAGACGGACTCCTCCTGCTCCAGCTGATAAGCCTAACGTAGTCCCTGCAATTCGTACAGCTTCTCCGGGCTCTATCGCTGCTACTGCTGCTCCCATCCTTCCGTCGTCTGCTCCAGCCGTTGAAGCTCTTGACGCTCCCGCGTCCTCCCACGTGGACGCAGCCAACGTTGCTTTGGAGGCATCGGCGCCAGCCACCAGTTTCTCTCAAGAGGCTTCGGCGACTGGGGACCAGGGTGGCGGTGCTGGACAAGCGGAACTGGTGACTCCTAGCAGTCGACGATTCAAGAAGAGGATGAGCCAGAGTCCTGCAGGTTTGGAGCACTTGACACCTACCTCGAAGCGGCGGAAACTCGCAGGTCGCAGCTATTGGGAGAACATGACAGGCAGCGTTTCACGGATTGCAGAGATCAATCGTTTTTTGGAGGACAATTCGGGCGTGGATGCAATTTCTCCCCTTGAAGACGACGCTGCCTGGTTCCAAAAGAGACGAATGTCCCTGACGCCAGCCGTGCGGCGTCCTTCTCTTGGCGCAGCTGTCAGACCTGGCGTGACGCCAGGGCACGCTGGTCGCGGAGGGTGGAGCATGCAGCGCTGCGCCCTGATGCAGGAAGCAGGAAAGGCTGGAAAGGGGTCGAGGCAAGCAGGGTCGGAAGCGGGAGAAGCTCGTTCGAAGCAAGCGGGACACGAGGAAGCAGTGCAGGTGGGAAAGGCTAGTTCGAAGCAAGCGGGAGAAGCTAGTGCGAAGCAGGCGGGAGAAGCAGAAGAAGCGGGACAGCGTGGTCTGAAGGTAATGGCGAAGGACACAGTAGAGCAGGGCATTCGTGAAGGCGCAACTGCTGAGCAAGATCAGACCAGCGGAGAAGCAGGCAAGCAGGGAGCGGACCTGGGTATGGGTGTGGAGGGGCCTGTGGAGCTGACGAAGGAGTATCTTGAGTCGCGTATGAACGTCATCTTCGCTCAAGAGACCTGCAACGCGGACCAGAAGCCGGTGCGGATCGCCAGGCAGGTCAAGGCATGCTTGAAGCGGTGCTATCTCGCGTCCATGCTCGACATCAGGGCGTTTGAAGCGAGTGCGGATGAGGGGAGCGAGGATGAGGAGGAGGAGAATGCGGGGAAGAGCGATGGAGGGGCATCAGGCAAGCGGGTTGAGCCAGCAGCTGGGGAGAAAGAGGCTGGGGGAGGGAGGAATGAGTCATTAGCCACTGTGAGGTTCCGCTTACAGGGTTTGAGAGAGATCAAGGACGAGCTGTTGAAGGAGTTGCAGGAGATTGAGGCTCTGGAGAAGCTAGAGGAGGCTGAGGAGGAAGATACGCAGCAGAGCAGCGAGGAGGGAGCAGACGAGGAGGAAAGTTTTGCAGGAGAGGAGGAAGCTTCAAATGCTCAGGTTGCAGAAGCAATTGAGGAGATTCTCCCAGTTGTGGAAGAAAAGGTGAGGACGAATCTAGGCATTGTGTTTTGACTGGTGCAGTTCTGTTCGAGCGAGACACTAGGATGCCATACTTACTTAAATCTGCCCGTCCCATTGTTTTATCGCAGATCAAGTGTACACGCTCTTGGATCAACACCACACTATCACTGTGTGAGCGGGCAGCAACAGTGGAGCAGCAGCTGGTTCAGGCATACCCTGGGGCTGCAGCTGCTGCTGTTGGTGGAACAGGCGATTCCAGAGGATCAACAGCAGCAGTGAGAGGTGCAGGAGGGCTTGCAGGAGTGCCGCTGGCTGTGTTGACTCCACGAACAGCAGCTAGGGGCCTGGCGAATCTTGGGCAGCCAGATATGCCCACGGACTGGGAGTGATGCGGGCAGAACGTAGGAAGCCGAGTTGGCAGTACTAGTGATTGTGGGTGGGCGATCCTGGAAGAGAGGAATGGGTTTGTGCTGGTCACACTGCAAGGTGTGGGTGGTGGGCTGCGAACACAGCTTAGGTGGGGATGGAGACTGACTACAGGTATGGTAGGACCTTGGCACTAACGTCTATGATAACTGCTGCTTGCCAATGCTGGCTGCTGAACATTATGAATTTTTTCGAAAGTGTGTAACACTTTCTAAAAATGCGTATTGTGAAAGCGCAGCTGACTGTAGCGCAGCAAGGCAATTGCGAATTACTATTCGCCGAATATATAAGAGGGTTGGAGGCCATTTGGCCTCCACCCACGTCTTCATTTTGGAACTTTGCAGTTCCTCTCCACCATTCTCGTCCAACCACTTAGTTTTTCCGTTGTCACTTGGATTCTTTCACTAACTCGTAGACAAGACAGACTTATCAACCGTGAAAGGCAACGGACGCACACATGCGACTATACCTGGCGTGCGTTCAACTGAAAGCGAAGTGCGCCGGAGGAAATTGCAACTGGCACGCCAAGGACGAAATCGCCAGTGGCGCGCGCCAAGGATGAAATCGCCACTGGCGCCAGTGGCGCGCGCCAGGGAAGAAATCGCCACTGGCGCCAGTGGCGCGCGTCAGGGACGGAATCGCCACTGGCGCTAGTGGCGCGCGCCAGGGATGAAATCGCCACACGCTCGCCTGCAGCTCTTGCGCCAGTGGCGAAATCGCCACACGCTCGCCCGCAGCACTTGCGCCAGTGGCGAAATCGACACACGCACACCTGTGCCACGAAATCGCCACTAGAGCGGCAGTGACAGGACTTCCTTGACTGGGAGCCAATCACCAATTATGAGTCGCTTGTTTAAGTGCTGAAAGCCTTTTCATTTATTTTTTCTGTTATGTCATCTCCTCCTATTGTCTATTAATCCCCCCGCTGCTTCAATCCCTTGGTGGCAGAAAACTGGGCTCAACCCCAAGAAAA